GAGAATGGGGTGAGAGACCGTGTCAAAGGCCTTCCTGAAGTCCAGAAAGGCTATATCCACTGCAACACCTATATCCAAGGACTTGGTGACCTGGTCATAGAAGGCCACCAGGTTGATTTGACAAGAACTGCCCCTAATGAACCCATGCTGGTTGCACCTGAGCATAACCTCCTCTGCTGGCCCTTCCTGGACGTGTGCCAGGATAATTCTTTCGAAAAGCTTCCCCAGGACCGAGGTAAGACTCACGGGCCTATAGTTTCCTGGGTTCTCCTTCCTCCCTTTTTCGAAGACGGGGACCACATTGGCCCTTTTCCGGTCCTCCGGCACATTGCGTGAGTGCCATGAGTGCTCGTAGAGCTGTGCCAGAGGTCCCGCAATGACCCCTGCTAGTTCCTTCAGCACTCTGGGGTGGAGATCATCAGGACCTGCGGATTTAAATACATCTAGTCCCTCCAGAAGTTCCCTGACAAGGGAACCCTAGGCCTGGGTGTGCCACCCACAGGGCCCTTGGAGGGGCCAGTGGGGGAGATATCTGGGTTCCTCCTCAGAAATACGAAGGCAAAGAAATTGTTGAATATGTCAGCTTTACCATCAGGTGAGATGACCAGCTTTCCTAGCATGTCCTGCAGAGGCCCCACGTTACTTGGCACCTTCTTTTGCCCCGCTATGTATTTGCCCCCCCTTGTTGTCCTTGATCTGGGTCGCTAGTCCCAGCTCCATTTCCGCTTTGGCCTTCCTGACCGCCCCCCTACATTCCCGAGCTACCGAGGTATAGCCCTCTCTTGTGATGGCCCTCGTGTGCGCGGCTCAGGAGCGCGGCTTCCTACCCGGCTCAGTAAAAAAGGGACCTGGGGGGCTTCCCCTCCAGATCCGACTCCACTGCTCCGGTTCCCTCCGCCTCGACTTACCTTAGGGGGATCAGCTGTTGCTGCCCCCACTGCTACCTCCGCGCTGCTGCTGCTGCTGCCTCCAAGATGGTAAGGGGGCACACGTGCGCGTGGACGCCCAGGTAACCGCTCAGGCGGACGCCCGGCTCCCTTCTATTTGCAGGTTACCTCCTAAGACTGTGCGGGGTGTACACACCAGCCAGAGGGAGACCTTGTATCATAGAATACCCCTGGTTCTACAGTGTGCTGGATGAGTTCCAGAGTGAGTACAGGCTACAGAAGGAAAGCCCAGTGACTATGAACAATATAGAAAGATACAGAAGGCAGTCAGAGACAGGGAGAGGCTATCGGCTGTGGAGCTGCTCCCCAAAGATGACTGCCAAGCCACCTGGGACCAGGTCTTCCACAAGGACCTACGAAAAGACCACAGAGACTTGAACTGGCTAATAGCTCACCATGCACTCCCAGTGAAGGCACAGAGAGAAGTGAGAGACCAGGTCCAACCGCCCCAGGGAAAGCTGCTAGAATGAGAATGAGACCATCAACCACCTCCTGTGGCTCTGCCCCTATGCTAAGGTAGTACAGGAAAAGGTAAGCCAGCTCCTTGAGGAAGTGACAGGAGTCAGGCTGATGACAAGGGAGACGGCACTGTCCGGACACCTGACTAAACATCAGGGGCCCCAGACAACCTGCTTTGACCAGTTTGTGCCCTTCCGACCCTACATCTATGAAGCTATGAGGCAGAGACCTCCTGTTATACAGACACACCGGGCTCAAGGAAACAGACTGGGAGAGGATAGAGAAAATGCAGCCAACTGCACCTGGAAAAGCGACACTTGGCACAGGTTGTTCAAAGCCCCCCTGGGAGGGGAAGCAGACAGGGAGATTGAAGAGGACAGTGACACAACTGGACCTGGAGACAGTGAGAACGACTACAACAGGATCAGCAGCAGCGGAAGTGACAGCGATATCAACAGCAACATCAACAAGGACAGTCAATGAACTGAGAATGTAAAGCCCAAATCAGGGCTTGGACTAAGGGACTGCATTTGGGTTTGGGAAGGGCAGTGGGTGGATCGAGGGGATGCATTTATTGTAATGGGTGCATGGGTTTCTTAATGCGATTTAAGCTGTGTGATGGAAAATTTATGATAGAGAATGTATATATATAACTCTCTATATGTAGAAATATATTTTATTAATAAAAAAAATGTGCAGAAAGGAAGGGGGAAAACACCTGCAGACCTAGACATTGGCAGGCAACGTGATTGCAGTAGTCCCTGTCTCTGTTTGGTATTGGCCTCTGTCTTTTCCCATGCTGTTTGTCCCATCAGATCTGGGTCAAAATCCACCCTCACGATGTTTAACCCACTCACAGGGGACAACCCCCCCGGGGTCTAATAGGTCTCTTCTGACCCTAGAAATCGATGAAATCTATGAAATCAGAGGTCTGTGCAATACTGTGATGTCCTAGGTCTGTGGAATGATTTGATGTTATAAAACGGTGGCATTTCTAGAGCAGTCTCAGATGAAGGTATCCTGTCATTTCAGACTTGCATGACTGTGACTTACCCATGATGGGTTGGTGAGTAAGGGTGTGGACAGGAGCCAGGACTCCAGTTCTCCCCTGTGGTGGGAGAGGAGTGGGAAAGGAGGCCTGTAGCCTAGAGGAGGAGAATCAGGCTGGGGCCTGTGCCTTCCCTCCCTCCACAGCCAGCAGGACCCCAGTCAAAGCAAAGGAGGGAGGAGATGGGATTATTTTGAACAATTGATTGAAGTGCTGGCTCTGGAACAGCAACAAGAGAAAGTGCAAGCAGAACAAGAAAAAAGGATATACATAAATAAGAATAATGAAGGCACTTGTACCTGTGATGGGGGTTTAGTCCTTAGGGTTAAATTCTATGGCCCCTAAATTGAAATGGTGGGTATTTAATTGAACCCCCACTCCCCTTTGTAATTAAAGTATATTTCTATACAATTCAAATAGAGACTGGAGATATGGCCATTGTCCTGCCTGTCAACAGGTGGGGAGGGGGACATGTAAGTGTTTCTCCCTTCTCTCTCAGCTCAAAGGTGCTGTTCCACCTTGGCACTGACGGGTGCAGGAGCCAGAGACACAGTTCCCGCCTTGCAGGCCGGATCAGGGTCAGGGACGGATGGTGCCAAGGAGCTGGTTGGCTGGCAGGATGGCTGTATGCTGATTAGGGAGCAGGGTGTCTGGGAAAGCTGTAGCAGCAGCATTTGGTGGCAGTGGCTGTGGGCATGCGGTGAAATGGCAGCTGGACAGGGCTGTGGTAGTGCTGGGGATTGCGGGTGCCTGGCAGGAGCCGGTGCTTGGCAGGGCAGTGCCGTGTCATGGTGCCCTGTGTGCATGTGTGGCTAGGCTGGGCTGGGGCCGGCAGGGATGTTATTATGGTTGTACTTTCAAAGATTGTTGCTATAGTTGATTTCTAGAGAGGAGTGTGTAATAGTGATTGTTTTTGTTAGCTATGATAAAGAGTCATTAGTGATCTCTTCTGTGTGTGAAGTTGGTAGGCAGTGCTGTTTGTATACAGCTGCTGCTTATTCTTGATGATTGCTGAGCTTCTTTTAGGGAGCTGAAGAAAGAAAGCACAAGCTGAGCGGTTACTTTTGGTTACCTGCTATTTAATAATAATTTTTTTTTCCTGTACAGAAAAAGCTTTATTGAAGTTTTGGCCTAAAGAGTCTGAGATGAGAATGCTTGTCTGCAGAGTCAGCTGAACCCAAAATTGCTGGGCTTGGGCCTGTATGTCGGACACTTGCCAATAGATTTAGGAGTATCTGATGTCCTGGGACGATAGGTCAGAGAATGCTTGCTTGTTGTGGTACTGTAGAAGAGGACTAGAGTCCTGGCTCCTGTCTACATCCTTGTTCACCAGCCTGCCAGGGATAAGTCACAGTCATGCAAGTGCAGAAGGACAGGATGCTGTCCCCTGAGACTGCTCTAGAAATGCTGCCATTATATGACATAGCACCATACCACAGACTCAGATATCACAGTATTGCACAGACCTCTGATGTTACATGGGACACCAGGGCCAAAGCCCTCAGCTGGAGTGGTGAATCTTTTAAGCAATCAGAGGGTACTTATGGCAGTTTAGCACCCCTTAACTAATGACTTCTCTGCTTTTACATGCCTTTATGATGTTTTTCAGGGAACACGTGCCAAGGCTCTAAGGTTCTGCTTGCATGTGCTGAGCTATATGTTCCCAGGCCCTTCTCCTCTTCAACTGCCACTGAAAGCCTCACTCATACAGCACAGTTCCTTCAGCCATTCTGCTTTTCATCCAGCCACCCTGGCTGCCTTGCTCCATCTTGGAAGGAGGGAGAGAGGTGAAGACCAGATCCAACCAGGCTCCCCGTGCTTGCAGTCCTGCTCCAAGGTGCCCTGTCAGTGTGCTGGCATCTCCCAGGCCTATTGCCCCAGAGTGGTTCCAAATCCTCCTTGTGGGCCCCAGGGACAAATGTCTTCACCTTCCCCCATGTTTTCCTCTGCTAGAAATTACCTGCAGGCATAGGGTTACCGCACGTCCAGGTTTTCCCAAACATGTCCTCGTTTTGAGTTCTCCCATGTCCTTCCGGGTGGTTTTTTTAAACCTGAACAAACATCTGGGATTTTGGTCTTTTCTGCTGGGGCGAGCAGGGGAGAGTGATTGGAGGCAGGGGCATCACATGCATATGCAGCCCCTGAGCTGGCCCCAGCAGCCTTAGCCCAGGCACCGGGGGCCTCTGGGGACTGCAGCCACAGCAATCTGGCAGCATGTATTTTGGCCAGCAGCCAGAGCATGGCTCTGGCCAACCAGGCTCTGCTTTCCAGTGGTCACGTGCGCTGCCCTGCCTTTTTAAGGTGCAAGTTTTTTTGTCACCAGGATCTCTGTAGATTTATTTCTGGACACCAGAATATCTGTTTTTGCAAATTAAAAAATTAAAATGTAGCTCCCATCAAATCCAGGAAAACCCTGGACGCCCCATTTGTTTCCTTTTCTTCTATGCAGCCTGTACCCATTCTACCGGGAGGAGGGACCTAGCTGAGCAGGTCTCCTCCATGAAGGAACCAAAGACATGAAGGAGGCATTGCTGTCTGTAGGTGTTCTAAGCTCCAAGGCACTGGGCTGTGTGGCACTGCTGGGTGAGGGCTGTGCCACTGCCAGATACCAGCAGCCACGGAGCCACTGAGATCCACAGTTGAGGCTCCCAGAAGCATAGGCAAGGTCCCGGTTGGCTGGCAGGATGGCTGCATGTTAATAAGGTAGCAGGGTGTCTGGGAAAGCTGTGCCAGTGGCATATGGTGGCAGCAGTTGCGGGCATATGGTTAAGTGGCAGTTGGGTGGGACTGTGGCAGTCCTGTGGGTGCAGGCACGTGACAGGGGCTGATGCTTGGTGGGGTAGTGTTGGGTCATGGTGCCCTGGGTGTGCATGTGGCCGGGCTGGCCTGGGGCCAGCTGGAGGTAGAGTTGAGACTGTGCTTCAGGGATCTTTTCTATAGTTTGTGACTAGAGGAATGTGTCTATGAATGATTGGTCTTGCTAACCATGATGAGGAGTTGTAGCATTTTCTCTGGAGCATGAAGTGAGTAGGTAGTACTGTTTGTGTACAGCGGCTGCTGGCTCTTGATGACTGCTCTTCTTCCTTTGGGAAGCTAGAGGGGGAAGGTGTAGACTGAGCGGTTAGACTTGCTATTATTGTTAGCAGTTCAAAAATGAGTTTTGATTTTGTGAGTGGTAAGTGCCTTACTTTCCCTGGTGGTACTTTTTCCAGGGGGAGAGAGACCAGAAGTGCTGGAGCTATGGAGAAATCAGCTGAGAAACTTTTGGGGACGGGAGTAGAAGCTTCTACTTTGGAAATATAAAGAAGCAGAGAGCTGATGGAAGAAGTAGAACACTTGGGAGACTGGGAGATGGTGGAGAACAAGTAAAAGAAGAAAGAGTGGAATGTCAGAGCTTCAGAAGACCTGAGATGGAGAGGTGAAAAGAAATCAGCACAAAGGGAGAAGCAGAGAATTGACGGAGAAAGGCCTAAGGGAGCAAAGCAACCTGGGAAGAAGATAGAAGAAAACAATAGCTGGTAAAAATGCAGATGTGGAAAGAGGGAAGATTGGGAGAAAACAGAGAGAGACTATAGTGGGCACCCATTGCTCTGGGTGGAGTTGGTCCTAATCGATAATCAGGCACAAGCATTAACCCACTGCTACAGATGTAATGGGACAGGCCAAAGGGCCAAAGGGCCAGAGGCTGTCAGGAGAAAATAAAACGTACAGTATGTTAACAAGGAAGGGCACCTATATAAAAGAAGAAACACCTCAAGAAATGGAGATGGGGATGGGACCATACGCTGACATCATAACAGAAGCAGCTGGGCAAGAAGTGATAGAGGAAGAGGAGGCTGTGGAGCAAGACACAGAGAGCTCCTAGATGGAGATAAGGGAAAATGGAGAGGTTGAGGAAACACAGAGAATGGAAGAAGGAAAGAGACAGGAAGAGGATGGTGGGAAACGGAAAGGGAAAAGGAAGAAGCAGTTAGAATCAAAGAGGTGGAAAATGATCAAATGTGCAGAGGAAGACGATATAAGGGAGAGAAAGGAGATGAGAAAGCAGCAGAGAGAGAGAGAATGTGGAGAGACAAAGAAGACAAGAATGAGAGAGAGAAGAAAGCAGAGGAAGAAGATCCGGCTCTGAATAGGAAGGTGAAAACCAGGCCAAGGATAATAAAATGGCTGAAAGGAAAAGTACACAACATAACGACAGTGAGCAGTAGCACGGAAGACCTCTGAGAAAGATTGCAGCGGAGGTTATAGCAACATCCTTAAATGTATGAAGTATTTCGACAATGAAAAATGGGAAAAGGTAGAGCCCATTTTACAAGGATTAGAAGCAGACAGGAAAGCGGAATAATAGTGGAGAATGATTACAAACATTTAAAGAAGAGATGGACAGAGGGCCCATCATGGTGGTCAGGAACAGAAAGCAATACAACAGCAG